TGGTGCCGGTTTCTTTTGTCCATCTTGTTTGGTACTCTCTCTGCCTCCTGGGTTTGTATGTCTTTTTAGTTCACCCGGTTATGGAAATTTTCAGTCATCATTTCTTCATATAGGTCTCAATTACTTGCTTTCTCTTTCTTCTTGTACCCCTACAATGTGGATGTTGTCACACTTCATGTTGTCCCAAAAGTCCCTTAAGGTATCCTCATTTTTTAAAATTCTATTTGCTGCTATGATTGGGTATTCTTTCCTACTGTCATCAAATCCTGCTCCTCTGCTTCATCTAACCAACTGTTTATTCCTTCTAGTTTATTCTTCATTTCTGACTGGTCCTTTTTATGATTTCTATGTCCTTTCTCATGCGGTTGAGCATCCTTATAACAATTACTTTGAATTCTGTATCTGATAAATTGTTTGCCTCCATTTCACTTAGCTCTTTTTCTGGAGATTTCTCCTGTTCTTTCATTTGAGATATGTTTCTTTGTCTTGCCATTTTGGCTGCCTCTTAGTGTTTGTTTCTAGTATTAGATTTGCTATGTTTCCCAGTGTTTGTGGAGTGGCCTTATGTAGTAGGTATTCTGTGGGGTCCAGTGGTCCAGTTTCTTTGATCACCTGAGCCATGCGCTTCATGAGTGTCCCATGTGTGGGTTATGTGGGCCCTCCTCTTGTAACTGAGTCTTGATTGCTATTGGTCCATTCATGCATGAGATTGTCCCTCAGCCTGGCTGACTGTGAGTCTCAACCCTGACCACAGTGTGTGAGCTGCTGACCACAAGAACTGGAATTCACCTAACCAGGGTTTTGTGCTTGCCCATCGCCCTTTGGATATGCTTCTTGTAAAGCTTATTGGATCCTGCTCTGTTTTTATCTATGGCTGACCACTGGGCGTACTGGTTTTGGGCCTCTTGGAATGAACTCTGGTGCAAGCCAATGTCAGACAATGCTTGTGACTCACCCTGGGTAACTTGTTTGGAACAGTCTTGATGTGGTTTCCTCTGTAAAACCTTGGTTACAAGGCTTCTCTTCAGCTACTTGTCAGTCATCCAAGATGACTGTTCTATAATTTAATTGTAATTCCAGTTTGGTCCTGAAAGATGAGTGTAGCTTCCACCTACTCTGTAGCCACCTTGGATCCTTTTATTGGCACATAATCTTTTTTGATTAGTTGCTACTCGTATTTGTTTGCTTTATCACAAACAAGATTCATTTCACACCTTTAGCTGGAAGTCTCAGTCTATGCTTTTAATTTAATATGTACATATTAAATAAGACAAGCAATTAACGTTAAGCAATTTATGAGATAAGCAATAAAAAATTGATGGCCAGAATATTAAATAATTGTCAAGTGAAACTCAGAACATCAGTGAATGTTTATAACAAAACAACTAGCTCTTCTGTGAGACTGTACAGAATTTTACACCCAAAATAACCCCTAGTTTTTTAACCTACAGGTAACCTTCATATTCATTTTACTTTAGATCCCATTTATTCTTGATTGAATATAATTTAAAGTTTAAATTTTAAACTATACTAGAGGCTCAGTGCATGCAATTTGTGAACTTCGGGGGGTGTCTCTCAGCCTGGCCTGCGCCCTCTCGCAGTCCAGGAGCCCTTGGGGGATGTCTGACTGACGGCTCCCCGTGGGCATCAGGCCTAAGCAGTCAGTTGGAAAGCCTTAGCACTGCAACAGAGGCGGGAGAGGCACCCACTGCCACTGAGGCGGGAGAGGGTGCCTGGCTTTTGGCTAACCAGTGCTCCCTTTGTGTTAGTGCACTGACCACCAGGGACAGCTCCTGCATTGTCTGCCACCTGGTGGTCACTGCATGCCGGGAGCCGGTCCATCCTTGCTGTTTCAAGGGACCTGGCATATATGGCATACTGTTCTTAATATATTTGCTCACCTTCTTGGCACTATGTGTTTTAACCAAGGTCACCTCTCCGAGAAAGGTTATTTCCCCAGGTAGGGATTTTCCCCTGAGGTTAGGGAGGGAAGAAAGCCCTTTCACTAAGTGCTAGGGAGGGAATAAAACCCCTTCACTAAGTGCCAGGCGGGTAATTAATCTCT